TGATCTCACTTACATGTGGAATCTAAAAAAGATGATTTCATAGAAGCAGAGAATAGAAGGGTGGATAGTAGGGGTGAAGAGGGGCATGGAAGAAATGGGAGATGTTGGTCCAAGGGTATGAAGCTTAAGTTACACAGGATGAATAAGTTCTAGAGACCTTAGAACAGCATGGTGACTAAAGTTAACAATAGTCTACTGCGAGCAGAGCTTAAGTGTTCAAACATGGTAACTACATCAGGTACTGATATGTTAACAGCTTGACTACAGTAATCATTTCGCATGTGTATGTATATTAAAACACCACACTAGCCAGGCATGGTGGTGCACGCCTGTAATCTCAGCACTCAGGAAGCTGAGGCAGGACAATTGCTCGAGACCAGCCTGGGCTACGAAGTGAGCTCAAGGCCAGCCTGAACTGCACAGTGAGACCCTATCTCAAAAAGACAAACAAAACAAACAAAAGAAAAATGTACAAAACACACTAATTACCTTAAATACATAAACAATTTTTATTTAGAAATTACCAGAATCTTAAAGGGGACTAAAGCAACTAGACAAACTAGGAATGGAAGGGAACTTCTTCAATCTCATAATGCGTATCCATGAAGAAACCTACACCTAACATTATACTGTAAGATGGAAGGAATGAGAGTTTTCCTCCTAAGACTAGGAACAAGGCAAGGACATCAACGCTTACTGTCCTAGCGAGTGTAATTTAGAGGAAGAGGGTAGAGGAGCCTGGGAGAGTGAACATATTGGAAAGGAGAAGGTAAAAACTGTCTTTAGTTCCAGTTACAGGTTATGTAGAAAATCCTAGCTTTGCGCAGTGGCAGTATCATAGCGAATGAGGTTTATCCGAGGCGCAATCATTGCTAATTGAAAATCCTAGGGGGCTGGGGATTTAGCTCAGCGGCACAGCGCCTGCCTGGCAAGCGCAAGGTCGTGAGTTCGGTACCCGGTACCGGAAAAAAAACAAACAAAAAAAACCAAACAAACAAAAAAAAGAAAATCCTAACAAGTCTACATAAAAGCTATGCGTCTACATAAAACCTGAGTTTAATGAGATCACAGGATACATCTAATTTTTAATATTCACCTTATGTGTCTACATATTAGCAACAAACCACTAGATATTCAAATTCCAAAGATTCTATTTATAATAAAAATATGAAATACTTATGGACAAACTTAACAAATCATTACAAGACCTGTCTGAATGAAGGAGTGAAACTGCAAAATACCCCTAAGAGAAATTAAAAGAAGATACAAATAAATGGAGATTTAAAACATGCTCAGAGGCTGGAAGCCTTAGTAGGAAGCCAATTCTTCCCAAATTGATTTATAGATTCAAAGCAGTCCCAGTCAAAACCCTAACAAGCTATTTTGCAGGAAGGCACATTCTAAAATTTACATGAAAATGCAAATAACCTAGAATAGCCAAAACAACTTTGAGAAAGAACACAGTTGGAGGAATCATACCACCTGATTTCAAAAATCACAGTGAAGTAAAAGAAGTGTGTGTGATTGCAGTAAGGAGACACACAGGTCAACAGAACAGAAGAGTCCAGAAATAAACCAACACATACATATTTAGCAAACATTTTCAAAAGGTACCAAGGCAATTCAATAATGAAAAGCAGGCTTTTCAATAAATGGCACTGGAATAATTGATCTCTATATTCAAGAAATAAACCCAAATCCTTAACTTTTATCATATTAAAAATTAATGCTTACTCAAGAATTACTTTTTTTTTTTTTTTCCGGTTCCGGGAATTGAACTCGTGACCTTGAGCTTGCCAGGCAGGTGCTATGCTGCTGAGCTAAATCTCCAGCCCCTCAAAAATTACTTTTAAAAGTAAATTCCCTAAGATCCATGATTACATTCTATAATCTTGCTTTAAGAGAAAGAAAATATTTTATAAAAATTAATATTAATACTAAAATTTAATAATAGACCATAGTTCTAAATAGAAAGCTACAACTATGTAAAATTTTTAGAAGAAAACAGAAAATTATCTTTGCAATCTTGGAATAAATGGAAACTTAATAAGTATCATACAAAAAGTATGAAACAGAATAGAAAAACTTGGACTTCAAAATTTTTAAATTATCTTCAAAAGATACTAAAGAAAAAAATTTTTATATTTTCAAAATATATTTCTGATGAAGTGTAATCACAATAAGAACTTTTATAATTCAAATATAAGAAGGTAAACAAGTTAATGGAAAATAGTTAAGAGGCATGAGCAGATACGTCCCCTAGGAGACATACAAATGGCAAACAAACACATGAAAAGAAATGCAATTTAAAACCTCTGTAAGACACCACTACGCATTTACTAGTTATAATTAAAAATGACTGACAATACCAAGTGTTGGCAAGGATTTGGAACACCTCTGACTCATACTTTGCTTATACTGTAAGAATGGAACTCTGAAAAACAGGTTTGCAGTTAAAGAGAGATATTCCATATGACCCCACAGTTCCTCTCTTGGGCATTTACCAAAGAAAAAGAAAAACACATCCCCATGCAGAGGTTTGTATACAAGTGTTTAACAGCATTACTCATAATAGTGAAAAAAAAAAAAAAAAAGAAACAACCCAAACATCCATCCATCAGAAGATGAATGAATGAGTAAATTAGGTTTATTCATCCCATGGATAAATGGTACAAATTCAGTAATGGAAAGAATTGGTAATGACAGGAGTGAACTACTTACTGGTGGTGCACAAAATAGATGAATCTCAAAAGCATTATGGTAAAAGAAGAGGCCAGATGTAAAATACTAATGTATGACTCTGTTACATGAAATTTGAGTAAAGGCAAAGAGCTATACTGAGGTGATGATATGTTAATTAGCTAGATATAGTCACTGCTAAATGTACACATTCTTCAAAACAATATATTATACACAGTAAATACATGCAATTTACCCATCAACTGAAAAAATAAGTGTGCTTTTAAAAAATCTGTTTAAAAAAGAAAAGGCAAAACGATAGTGATAGCAGATCAATGGCTGCTGGGAACTGAGAGTAGGCAACACAGCCCTACTGCACCAGGCACACAGAAGCGTGGGGTCACCTGAAAGACCTCCACCGTGATTGTGATGGTGGCTACACAACTGTGTACAGGTGTCAAGACCTAGTGTCTAGCTGAACACTTAAAATTACTGAATTTTATTTCATATAAATTACACCTCAATAAGATGATTTTCAAAGAATATTTTAAAGGCATTTTAAAAGGTATTATTCAATTTAGCTATTTATTTATTTATTTTTGGTACTGGGAATTGAACTCACGACCTTATGCTTGCCAGGCAGGAACTGTGCCACTGAGCTATATCCCAGGCCGTCAATTTAGCAATTTAGAGACCATCTCAAAATAAAAAATAAAAAAGGGCTGGGGATATGCTCAGTGTGAAGGTCCTAGGTTCAATGTCCAGTAGTCCCCAACACAAAGAAAAATCAACTAAAAATTCCTCAACAGTGAAATATATCTATGCACACAACATACAAGAATTAGAGTCGCCCTTACATTTCTAAGCAGTGGGTATCTTAACATCTGATAAACTCGGCTTTGCAATAGCACTGCAGACATCATTCCACATGATACACAGTAACCTCTACCAGTGGGCAACATCACTGGCTAAGGGTGCAGAAAGATGGGGCAGAAACAGCACTGGGTGGAGCCCTGTGCCTGAGAAAGCCAGACTGCACCTGTGCCCTCACTCAGCAAAGACCCCTGACACTGCCAGGGAGAAGCAGCTATGCACTAGACACCCCTCACTTGGGAAGGTGCCCCTCCCTAGAGCTACAGAAACCTAATCTCATAGGGTGGATGCAGGCACTGACAGAGCCAGTAAAGCAAAGCAGTGCAACTCAGGCTGGTTCTAAAAGTCACAAGCAACACAAAGATGGCTTTGCAGGTTACCTGGCACTCACTGACAAGGCTGATTTCAGTGAAGTGGAAGGATGAACCATCACAATACACACCTGTGGGATGCTGAAGATGGTCACCAAAATTAATGACTTTCAAACATATCCGGCCCATTTGCTTATCTCTGTTTCTCCTCACAAGAATGATGATCCTCACTGACAGCAGGGATTTCTGTTTTCGCCGCTCACTGATATCCCTAGCAACCTCCAAAATGCCTAGCATATGCTAATTGGTCAATAAATATTTGTCAAATGAATAAATTATGCCCATACAGACATCCAGCAAACAGTTGTTATGAATGCATTAGGTCTGTGTGCATAGTATCCCCACCTAAATGATGAAATAACTTTCTGTGGTCCTTCCTTTCTTGTATAACTTCTTTGAAAGTTAACGACTGTCTTGTCTCCTCATTCATTTTTTTTTCTACATACTAAATAGAACCTGAACTTTCTTTTTTTTTTGTTTTTGTACAAGGAATCAAACTCGGAACCTTGTGCTTGCCAGGTAGGCGCTTATACCGCTGAACTATATCCCCAGCCCTAGAACCTGAACTTTCAAGCAAAGTGGCTCTTGTTTTCTCCTTTACATATTTCTTCACTGCAAAATTTTCTTTAAATATTATATATATTTATACATACATTTAGAATAAAGAACAGACATATCTTTATAAAGTTAGGAGATTTATAGAGGGCTCCATTAATTAAAAACAATGTCATCCCTCTGGATCTGCTGTTTTCCCTACTTGGAAAACCCTCCCTAGTCTTCTCTGTAAGTCTAGCCTGTCTTCAAATCAATCTCTCCAATTAGGAACACTCCTTTATAGCAGTCAGTCTCAATCCTTTGATCTACTCTGACCCCATAAACCCCAAACTCCTTGAAGGAAGGCAATATTCAGTATGCTGCTTCATTTCCCACTGTTATAGCAGGTTTGATAATGTTTAATTTGTTGAATTTAATCAATGAATTTCAGTGAAACCAAAGCTTGAGGGTACAAAAATTAATGTAAAGCTAAGGACATACAGAAACACATTTGCATATTAAACTACTAAGCATACAACCTACCAGTAGTGTCTGTCCTTGAGAAATGAAGAAGTGGCCTGATATAACTATGGTGAGAACAAGATATCCGGATTCTTCATTGGAATCAAAAACCTTGAAAAACAGAGAAACATGTTTTAAAAATTTCTGTGATCCTGATAAATTTACTGTCTAATAACCAAACTATGTTCTCATATTTATCTTTCTACCTTGAGTGCTCTCTTTCCTCTCATTTAATCTGTAACCATTCCTTTGCAGTTCCAAGTTTCTCCCAGTATGTACACAGCCCAGGCTATCAACCAGGCTTTTAAAAAGTAAAAATAGATACCAATGGTTGGAAACAAAAACAGTGGCAGATTAAAAGTCAAGAGCTACAGATCCTAAGCCAATCACTTTTCAGTTACATTTTAAGAAATCGTTTCTTCTCTGAGTTTCAATTTTTTCTATAATATAGAGATAATGTCTTACAGAATTTCTGAGAGACTTCAGAGTCCCTTTCTCTCCAGCCAGATAATTCACATTCCACAACCCCTCAAAACCCAATGCTTTTCTTTGGATGATCTCTAGGTTGTCAGTCACTCAACACATGGTGCAACAAACTTGAACATAATCCCTTTGGTATCATCTAGTCACCTCGTTATGTGCAGTGGTACAACCTACTATCACCCTAATTTTTTCAGGGGTACAATAAGGCAACCCATAGCTCATCATCTATGTTTGTAGATCATACTTTCCCTTTCTTCATCTTAAACCTAAATGTAAGACCTTTGATTTACCCCCTTTATATTTTATCTTGTTAGATCTGGTCTATAGTTCCAACCTACTGAGCTGTGGTGAGGAATTAAGGTGATTAAAGTAGCAGGGAGGGCATGACCAATGCACACATCAAGAATGGGATTGGAGCTTAAGTGACAACTGTGTGGGTGGCTTTAATATCATTAATAAGTGTACACAGAGCATTCACAAGACAAACTATATTCTGGACAGAACAGGTTTTGACAAATTTTGACTCCACTAAAAAACAGTTGGTTCAATAAATTCAATAAAGTTGCAGGATACAAGTATCAACATACAAAAACTGGTAGCCTATCTATACAGTAATAGCAAATTATCTGAAAAAGAAATCAAGAAAACAAGTACTGTAGCTATTAAAAAGCTACTCAGGAAGGAATTCAAGAAAGTGATGAAAGTAGATTTCTACACTAAAAGCTATAAAATAATTTTTTTTTTGTTTTTTTGTTTTTCTCCGGTACCGGGAACCGAACTCACGACCTTGCGCTTGCCAGGCAGGCACTTTGCCGCTGAGCTAAATCCCCAGCCCCAAAAGCTATAAAATAATGAAAGAAAGCGAACATGACACAAGTAAATGGAAAGATATTCCATTCCTGTGCACTGGAAGAATTACTATTGCAAAAAGTCCACCTCGCTCAGTGGCCTACAGAGAATGCCATCCACACCAAAACAGTAATCTTAAAGCCAGATACAGTGGTGCACACCTGTAAACCCAGCTACTTAGGAGGCTGAGGCAGGAGGATTACAAGTTTGAGGTCAGCCTGAGCAACTTAGTGAAACCTTATCTCAAAAGAAAATATAAAGGGGGTATCACTGAGAAGGTAAACAAAGACCCAAAGCTATGAGAGTATTAACCAGGGATTCTAGGCTTACTGTTTTTCAGATCTGTCACATTCCCTCATTTAAATGGTTTACATAGTGAGCTCATACAGTTTAACAAGATCTAATTTAAGAACTCCCCAGGGTTTTCAGGAAAAATGGTAGCTTTACTACATCTCTGCAGTCTTCCCCTCCCTAATCCAATCCAAGTGGATTTAAATGGTGGGCTGAGGTTTCAGATAAAAGGAGTTGGTGTAAAGGGTTCCCTCTCTAGGAGAAAGGGGTCCCAGGGCAAGGACAAGGCTACTGTTCTTGGGAGAGCCTTGCCCAGACAAATTGGTGGACCTCAAGGAGAAGGGTAGCAGCAGACTATGTGTTGTGAAGCCCCTACTGCTTTCTCAGTCTCCAAGGAGTCACAATGCATCTGGACAACTTCAGCAAGTCCTTCCTAATCCCCTGCAGGAGAACTGAAGGACCATGCTGAGCATCTCCCAACACTTGGCGCTTAGTCTGTCACCCCGACAGACTTTGAGGCCCAGGGTGAAGAGACTCAAGTAAATTTGACAAAAAAGAGTAACTACCCACCTAACAGGCAAAAGCAAGGAAGAACAATCAGGAAACCCAGAACAGGTAGCCTCTGTGAACAAACTTGCTAGAGGAGATCAACAGCTGAATCAAAATGGATTTTTATATAAATATAAAAATCCAATAGCTAATTGAAGATTTGGATGAACACTACAGAGAGCAAATTAATGGTCTGAAATATCAAACAGGAGAAATATTTAGAAGTGCAGGACAAAACCACACAGAGGAAGAATTCATGTGTTACACTGTAAAATACATGGAACGAAGATTCAGATCCAGAAGAACAAATGTTAATGACAGGGGTTAAAGGGAACAGAGGAAAACAGACCGAGGAAAGGCACTGATTAAACACACAATGCAAGAAAATAGCCCACAACTGCAGAAAGGCATGAGACTAAATAAAGACAGAAGGGGTCAAGTTCCAGTCATTAATGGGGTGGAAGAAAAATCAACAACTAGGTACATTCTGGTGAAATTCCTGAATTCCAAGCACAGAGAAAGATTTTAAAAGCTTCCAGTTAAAAACAAAAATGTCTTCCTTCAATGTTAGAGTGTTCTGGGGAACTAAATCACTTTTTAAAAGTGGGTAATAGAGGAAAGAACCAAACATGCATCCTACCTGTCCTACACAATTCAACTACCAGAAAACCTATAACAGATATGAAAACATTTTTCTTTAGAGAAATATTACAGATAATAAAGATAATAATATTGTATACCAATAGCTACATTTTCCTAAAGAGAGAGATATTATATACCTCCTGACAGAAGAAAACCAAACCACCTAATAAGTAATGTTCCTCCAAAGAAATCAACCCGAATTTGATGAACCTGTAGATTAAATTACCAATTCACAAGAAAGAGAATAAAAAAGCAACTTGCATCAGGGTGCAGTCAGCAACATCCACGCTTTAAGAATCTCTGTAGAACTACCTGGTTTCTTTAGAAAAAATGCAAGGAAGGGAGGGAGGCAGGGTCAAGGAAACACATGAACAGGAAACCTAATGATTAAAAAATCAACCAATCAATCACAATGTGTGGTCCTGTTTAACAGAATTACGAAGCTTCTGAGAGACCATCTAAAACTTGAGTACTGACTGACTACTTCATAAGGTTAAAGAACTGTTAACTTTTAGGGGATTAGGGATATGTTTTAAGGTCCTTTTCTTTTAGGGATAGGAACTGAAATAATTACTGATTATATAAGATTTGGTGTTTACTTCAAAATAAACAATGAGGAGGTAATTTTTTTATACGGTCCTGGATATTGAACCCTGGGCCTCCTGAACACTTGGCAAGTGTTCTACCACTAAGCTACATACACACATACACACATGCATGCACACACATAATTTCTACATTATTCTCTCTACCTTTGATTATGCTTGAGATTCTTTAGAGTAAAATAAGAAGCTTCTGTGTTCTTGTCCCTCAGTAAAAATCAAGGTTAAGGAAAGCATTCCACTGACTACAAAGACATTACACTTAGGATTTGAATACAATGTGCTAATTTTACACAGAAATTCCAGTATCATAACACCTAACATAATCCAGGTACCTAAGGGAAAATACATTGCTTATTTCTGGCTCTTGAAAAGTACTTTTAATGAGTGATAACTTGGCATTTTATAGGAATGTTCACATTAACACAATATAGAAAGTTCAAAGAAAAATGTTATCTCTAATGATCAAGTCATAATAGAAAAAGGTATGAGTTGCAAGCTGTCAGAGAACAGGAATCACATGCACCTCTTTATTTCAGTCACCAACCTAAAGATATATTTACGAGTTCCATCAATTTGACCCGTTTACCCGTGTTCTGCCATCCACACGGTAGCATACATCCAGATTTATTTGGAGTGCATCTCAAGTTTACGATCAGTTAAAACATCAGAACACAGCTTATGCTGATTAAATAAACAGAAGCATCTCATAATATATATGAAGGTATTTATGCAAATCTGCAGTATATATCTAAAATGAAGTAGAAAGTCCAACGAATTACATGAAAACACTATAGAAAAGTATTTCAAATGTACTTACCCTAAATTATACTACAAGAAAAGCTAAAATACACTATTTTTCAGGTTGTGATGAATTAAATTATGTACTTGATTAAGGGTTTTATTTTCTGCTTTTAAGACCCTTCAAAAAGGGTTACAGCTTCACATATTGGCCTAAACTGCTGATTTATACGTTATAAAATATGAAAAATGTGCAAAACTGCTAAGTAGTCTATCAACTGCTTCCCAACTGACTCTGTCCTAAAGAGTCTCATAAATTATTTGGATAGAGTTGTAGAGTACATTATGTTAATGAACATGGTCTTGCCACATACTAGTTACCAAGCTGTAAAATTCAGATTTTTTTCTCACAAGAAATGTAGTGTTAACAGCAACCATAATGAAAACATTTATGAGAGTGACAATGTCCCCTCTGTCCCTAAAAGTAGTGACAATGGTGAGTTTTTGTTTTAGAAAGTACAAAAATGATTTCATGTATACCAAAGCATAAGACATGATAGCCCTTTTTAAAATCCCACATCCCTATTTAGATTACTGATCATGAAAGGATTCAGTCCTTTTAAACCTGCCTATTAGAGTTAACCCTCAGTGGTGGCATTCATGCTACAGCGGGCTGTTTGTGTCACTGGAAGTTCTAAAAGGTTCACCATCACTGACCTGGAATACATCTACTCAGAACACCTTCAGGCAACCAAGGAGCAAGTTCTTTATGTCTCTGAAACTGCCAGTCCAGGTCCCTTTAGTTAATGTTCTTTCTCTAACGCCTTTCCAATATGTTGAGTTTCCTTAAACATTTCCCAGACTAATAAATTCTGATAGATTTAGCTAAAAGGTGGGAGTCATCAGTACTAGTCACCAAATACACAAGAATTGCATATCTGGAGTCTCTTGGAT